CAAAGGAGTCAGTGTGCTAAAATTTCTTCATTTTCCTTGTTTAGAATCAGAGGTGCTAGTTTCAAATCCTTTTTAGTCTGAAATCTGTATGCTAGATATTGAATAAGGTGGTTTTATTGTTTTTTGTCACTTTGAATAATATTTCTGTTCATGTTAAAAACAAAATCAACTCTCTGTATAAATATATCAGGTGACCGTTAAGGCCCTTGGGTCTCTTGTCTGTAATTATAACCTACCATATATTTAGTGTTGATTTAATTAGGTGTATTTTGATATTGTGCCATAATGATTAGTGTATACAATTCAATATTCTCCATACACACACACTAGGGAATACATTTAGGATGATGGTGATATAGTCTGTTAAATACTGTTTACACTTTTACTTACCTGTCAGTTCGTAGGTGTAACGCCCAAATAAGGATTGTTGTACGGCTGTGGCCGGAGATGGACTTTAATTAGCCGTATTTCTGAGGTAGGTTTGTGTAGCTGGGTGATGGCTGACTGTGTTTGTGTCAGTAGGTGTGATACATATATTATGGGATGGATGGACGTACACAACATTGTGATACTAAAGGTAGTGGAACGTTAATCTATCTGTAGACATGCAAAGCGTTACAATTCTTGTTCTAAAGGTACATTCTAGTAGGAGGTTTTCTGACATACAAACCCAGGATCTACTGATTCTAATGGCAGTTGATATACAATTTTATTCTTTTAAAGCAAATAGTTTCACATTTTCGCTAAGTGAACTTCTTTTTTATCAAAGCTGGCGATATGCATGTATGACCAAAATTTTATAGATTGTACAATATTATTTTTTCTGACGTTATTGTGTCTGGACAGCCTAATATAATTGAGTTTAACCTTCAGCGGTTTGTCAGCCACCTGTTGTCTGATTGCAATTACTAAAATTGAAATTGTAAAAAACAGATAATGACATTTTAAAATAATTGTCAATGGATTATGTTGATAATTACATTTCTTACTTAGCTTAAAGACTTTATTGGTGTGCTTCAAATGTTAAAGATTAACTTATTTTCCCCTGAAGACACATTTGAACTCCTCCAATTCAATGGTTGGAATAGTTCATTATGAAATTTAAGAGGTAACTGAGTTAATTACCGTCACAGCCAGATATTTATCACTTTATGTTGCAGTGTTCTTATATTTCAGATAATGGAATTTATTGGAGACAATCAGCATTTTAACAATCCACAACTTTAAGTATGTGTTTAAGATGTGTGGTTTACATTGTAAGTAGTTTAGACAGGTGGTAGCTTTAACTGTAGGGCCAATGAATCTTTTATTTGCTTTTACTAGAATTTGTTTTTCAGATTTTTTCAGCTTCTGATATGTTCCATGATTTATGCATGCCGTTTCTTCTCTGGTATTTTCAGATGGGATATGTGCCGTAGAGAACAAACGCAACTTGGTAAAGAAGACCGCCCATGTGAACTTCTCCCGGCACGGTGAGTTTCTGCAGTGGCAATCCAGTTATTCAATAATTAAGATATCATTGGCTTTCTACACCTTCCTATAGATCCCGGTGCTGAGACATCAACTGAAATAACACGGATTTGATGTATTGGAAGGCGAAGGCCACTTCTGATCACGAAACTGACCGATATAGTATGCATAACACTCCCAACCCAGACAGACCTACCTGAATTCATGCTTTAACCCCAAAAAACACAATTGCAAGACTCATTTGGTAGAAGAAGAAAAAAAAATCATGTAAATGAAAAATTATATTTGATTTGTGATGTCTAATTAGATTAATTATTGTATCTTAAAAATGCAAGATTGCAGACAAAGTTGTATTGTGATTTACAATTATAACTGTCACAGTTTACTGATAATGTCCATCCGTCTGTCTTTTTACGTAGATGAATAAAAATGGAGGGGAACGGACAATAATGAGTATCCTTGTCAATATTTTATGACTCTGTCCATGATAAAACAATCTAAAAATTATATTTGATACAGTTTGATTACAACATTTTATAGAATTAGACACGTACGACTATCCAATTGACCAACTCCTTAGTAAGACGACCTAACACCACTGAGTAGTTAACTTAATTAGAAGCTAGTAAGGGAGATAACTGTAAAACACAAGCAGGTTTAATGTACCATATATCTTCAAGGTTTTCCAAAAATATAAGGAGATGGCTTGATGTTTTTAGCTCACCTGCCCAAAATGGTTGAGATCCTTACCCATACACTTGATAGGCATTAAAGACATAAACACCACCATTATATTAGAATTCACTCTGGGGTCTGACTCCACCCCTAGGGACTTAATTTCTGATCAAAACTTTGAAAAGGTTGAGATCGTCAACCCATAGCCATATATATATACCATTGCTGGGTATAAAGATCCAGGTGAGTGTCATACAGGCCCACTTGGCCTCTTGTTTTTGCATATTTCAGGAGGTTCAGGTAAATGTAAATTTCTGTCTCTCTAAGCGAACTGTTACTGTTAACTGTCAAGAAGACAATTCTTTTTGCAGTTGTGCAAGTCCACAGACGTTTCTTATGTACTCTAAAGATGTCAGGGGCAAAAAAAGACGAAATGGTGATATAGCTTTACGTATTGTAATTGAGACACCAAAATACCAATTCGGAAGAGAAATTGAGCCAAGTTGGGGTCATTTGTTCAAAGGAATGGGAATGAGAAACATACATGTTCATTATGTAAGAAGAATGGGGAAGATGGGCATGTCTCATTTCATTGACTAACAGTGAAAGAGACAAAGCAATTGTATGTATTATATGGCCACTCTGAACGAAACAAACAATTGTTTATTGCTGTGTATTCTTTGACCAGCTGCTACAGCTATTTTCAGATAGGTTTCTGCCAGTCTGGACTCGACGAAATTATATAACTTTCCTCACCATGGACTGGGCTAAGTCATGCTCCTACCAGTCAAGTTTGGGAGATGCAATGAATCAATTTGGATCGTCTAATCATCCGTATGGTCTGTTGGCAGGAACTCCGGGAATTAATATAAGACTGTTGTTTTAGTTCCATCAGGGAACTTGGATGGGATTGGTATTACTAAGTTTAGATATGAAATCCCCAGATTTGGCTGGTAACGATGTGTCGCTATTGATTCTGAGTCGGCTTTGCACTTTGAGGCGGTCAGGGAAATACAAGTTACTGCAAGGATTAGCAGGGCATTGACTTTAGTGAGAGCTCTCCCGTGTTTGATAAATGCTGCCTGGAGATTCCTTTAGGCTCTTCCCCCATATTTCTTCCTGATTTTTGGTGAATAAACCTTCTCACTTGTACCTATATCAGTGTTCAGGTGTAATTAGGAGCCAAAATTCATGGGAAATGGTGTTTTTTTTCTAAATTCAGAGCAAAAAGTTCCTGAATGTTTTAAATTAAAAAAATGCAAAAGATCAGGTAAGATTTTCTGGGATGTTACATGATATGGTTCCTTATAACATGTCATTAGGGAAGGAGACAAATATAATTTAAATGCTAGGGACACAGGTGGTAGCAAAAGGGCTACAGGATATTTTACAGTATGCACGCGTAAACATGTGTTCACGATTTGGTTATATGTATAGGCAGTTAAAAAAGTATGTAATTTTTCAACATCTTTCTAAATGGTGACTGTGTCAGCACATTGTTGTTCCAAGGCTGTTTATTATTTACTTTGTATGTAATGTACTCAAGGCCCTTAGTATCGGAAATCCCACTTACGATCCGGAGATCTAAAGTTGTCCCTAAGAGTAGAAGACGATTATTGACAGGATCAAAAAACGAAAATCTTTGCTGAAAAACTAGAACTGCATTACTACATATAAACAGGTGGGATTCCTCCCTTCTGGAAAGTGGTTATGGTATCTTTGACTTTATTGTACGGAGGCTTTTCAAGTATCTTTTTCGTTACTCCTGAAGTTCAGTAAACATGAAGGCAATTTTGTGGGATGTATAAGAATAATAGAGGCATGTGTTTATGTGTGTATACTGTACACCTCTATATATCTGGATCCTGATCTCAAGTCTGCTTCCTGGTGAGTGGTCAGGGGCGTGTCCTTTGGTGTGTGAATTGTCTAAACACTTCAGATGTTAACTGGTGAAGAATACCCAGGTCTGGTCTCCATATGGCCCTACGGTATATATCCAGGATTCATTCTAGTACTCACGTATGAAATTGGTTTTACCAAAAAAGTCTCTTTATCAACTTAATCATAATAATATTTTAAGGAAACTTTAACCAAGTAATGTAGTTGTCCTTCACAAATAAAACACATATTAACTTAGTGTTATTTTGTCCTTCACATCATGACATGTCATTATTACTGTTTATATATAGAATATAGTTTGCCCTCGTTATGTATATGAAGGGCAATAAAGTAAAGGTCATGACAAGAACATATATAAACAAAAATGTCTTAAAAAGTCTTATTTAGATTTGCTGTATTGATAAATTTGCCCTAATTATGAAGGATGAAAATGCAAAAGATACACTGTGGCGAACATGACAACAGTTGAAAATATATAAACAAATTTCCGCTTTGAAAGTCAGCTCGTCTTTGGCAATTAAAAATATAAAATAGCCACTTGTCTGTGGTGTTGAAAATTAGGAGTCCAAAGACTGTAAATACTTAGTGAGAACCTTGTGAAGGTGAAATCCTGCAGTCAAGTCCCTGGGCTAGACCTGATGGTGTTTATAATGTAACAGGTGTGAGAAAACACCTTGGTCTATCAATACTTAATGTGATCGGTAGTGGTGAGGTTACAGGATCTATAGTTCTCTTGTGTAATGTCGGGCCTGGTAGGTAGTCATTATTGTAATTAACAGGAGAAAGCCAGTGCTCACCGTACCTGTATAACAGGAAAGTGTGGTTCCAACAGGGATCGAACCCGCAATCCAAAGCTTCCTAGTCAGACGCTGATCTACAACTGAGCTAAAGGGAAATTCCCTTTAGCGCGAAGCTAGAAGCTGAAGGCGACCGGTGAGCTAAAGGGTAATTCCCTCTAGCGCGAAGCTAGAAACTGAAGGCGACAGGTGAGCTAAAGGGAAATTCTCTCTAGTGTGAAGTTATATATAGAAGCTGAAGGCGACCGGTGAGCTAAAGGGAAATTCTCTCTAGCGCGAAGCTAGAAACTGAAGGCAACCGGTGAGCTAAAGGGAAATTCTCTCTAGCGCGAAGCTAGAAACTGAAGGCGACAGGTGAGCTAAAGGGAAATTCTCTCTAGCGTGAAGTTAGAAACTGAAGGCGACTGGTGAGATAAAGGGAAATTCTCTCTAGCGCGAAGCTAGAAGCTGAAGGCGACCATAATCCTATGTACAATAAAAATCTGCCATAATTGTAAAGTTTTATCAAGGCAGCATTAATATTGTATATGGGAACACTTGGTAAAATTTACTCTTTCTGTGATCATATTAAATCATGGAAACAAATTAAATAATCATTACCATTCATGTTATAATGATGCTAACATCGTACATATTTCAAATATAAAAACTAAATACAGATCAATAAAAAAAAAAAAAGCATTAATTATGCAAATAAAGATTATAATATAACTACTTTTTACATCTATTGAAAGGTGTACATAAGCCTAAAACACTGCCATATGTACTTAATAAACGTTTCATTGAATTTAAAGCTAACAGTACTTAATGTATCAAATGGAAAAGGCCAAAATACCTTAAACATGTAACATTGTGTACTAAGCTAATGATACCATCCACACGTATCATTATGAGGCTAATAAATACACATGTACATATACCTCATTGTACAAATTTCTGATTATTAGCTAAAACAGTGCAAGAATATATCTCCAAAAATATAGATTGTACTTGTAGCATGTAAAATGTTCAGGCCAGGCTTTATCATAATAGGAATCAATTTGGGTATACAGTATATTGGCAAATGAAATATGTTGGGGTATTATATAGAGAGTTCACAAAAATCAAGCCAGTATTAGTGTTACTGTGCTGTAATGTTTGTTGTACTTGATTATAAGATTACGGATCATGTTTGTATTGTCATCTGACCCTTAGATAGCTGTTACAAAGATGTACACAAACAAACAAACATACAAAGGCAGATCAGAATGTACATCGTAACAGGGATATCCTAACCCTAATTCTGCTGTTTATCCTCGTCTGTCAAGCTTATAAACATTTTTGTCACCTTGACTTTTATGATAGATTTTTGAACCATTTCTCCCGTTAAAGCAGAACATTTTTATGGAGAAGATGCAAATCGTGTCAGTGTTTCAGCTGGAGCGCAAATAAACCATTCACAAATCAATATTTCCCCAATTTTTGGCAGTAGCGGTGGGATGTGATCGAAAGAAATTTTGAATTGGCATTTAACTGTGGTAGTAAATGCTTGTGAATCGTGAACGAGACCGACACTCACTGTTGCCTTAATGATTGACTTTTATTTTGACGGCATATACAGTAGTATGAACACAGTTGGCAACTAACATATT